CTCCCCTCCCTCATATCATCCTCCCCTCCCTCATATCATCCTCCCCTCCCTCATGTCATCCTCCCCTCCCTCATATCATCCTCATACCATCCTCCACTCCCTCATACCATCCTCCCCCCCCTCATATCATCCTCATACCATCCTCCACTCCCTCATACCATCCTCCCCTCCCTCATATCATCCTCCCCTCCCTCATATCATCCTCCCCTCCCTCATATCATCCTCATACCATCCTCCACTCCCTCATACCATCCTCCCCTCCCTCATATCATCCTCCCCTCCCTCATATTATCCTCCCCTCCCTCATACCATCCTCCCCTCCCTCATATCCTCCCCTCAGTGACGAGGTACAGATCGGCCCCGAGACGGTGATGACGGTGCTGTACACGGCCAAGAAGTACGCGGTGCCTGCTCTCGAGCGCCGCTGTGTTGAGTTCCTCAAGACAAACTTGTCTTCTGACAACGCCTTCATGCTCCTCACGCAGGTTCCTGCAATGATACTCCTATCTTTACAAGCTCTTGAGATATGGTTTAATATTGAGCGATAATGCACTTTCCAAATTCATTGAAAGTGATGTAATAGGTAAAATAATTTGTTTAGATAACCGTATTTTGTTCCATTGAAAGTGATGTAATAGGTAAAATAATTTGTTTCGATAACCGTATTTTGTTCCATGCGATGCACACCCTGGTCCAGAACTGCAGTTAAGACATGTTATAGTCTTCTTAATTGATTGATCTCTTGCCATTTGCCAATGCTTGTTTTGATGACATAGACCACTGTGTTGCACGCTACATATTCAGTGTTAAAAGAATTAGGTTTTCAACTGCTGGTGATAGTTCCTGCAACTTTGTCTTGCGCAGTTCCTGCATTGTCTCATACTGTCTTGGTTGCTTGTGTCATGGAGCCATGTGGTGTTGGTGAGACAAGCTCCGTGGTAGTGACATTGGTGCTCATCAATGTGCCTTTTGTAGACATTGTTCATAGTCTATTATTAATATTTTAGTAGCCACAATAAAGAGGGAAGTAATAAGACTACAGTTAGGTGGCTTTTCAAGCTCGTCTTTTCAATGAGCCGCAGCTGGCGGCGCTGTTAATATTTGTGTTGTATTTCAGGCTCGCCTGTTTGATGAGCCGCAGCTGGCTGCACTGTGCCTGAAGACCATCGACAAGTGCACGGCTGAAGCCATCGTGGCTGAAGGCTTCACAGACATTGACGCGAGCACCTTGACGCTGGTGCTGCAGCGCGACACACTTAGGATCAAGGAACTGCACCTCTTCCGGGCCGTGTGTCGGTGAGTGGGCACCTCAGTGAGGTGCTGATAACAAAAGCTTCAAATTATTTATAACTGCCGTTGACTAACAAATAAACATAGAAGGCAAAAATATCAGAAATATCTCCTACATATCAGAAATATTTCCAAGGAATATTTCGGAAGCCGTAACACAGAGTGGTTTTCTATTACTCTGTTGTGGCATTTCAGAACAGAGTTGAGTCTGCGGTAAATACTGTCCTGCTAACATCAATATTACAAAGTTCAATTGAGGCTGTCTCGTTGCAGGTGGGCAGAAGCAGAGTGCATTCGACAAGGCCTGGGTGTTGGTGGGCGCCAGCAGCGTAGCGTCTTGGGACAAGCCCTCAACCTCATCAGGTACAGAGCTGTCTTGATGTCAGGAAATATATTAATAACGTTTTAGACAAGCCCTCAACCTCATCAGGGACAGAGCTGTCTTAATGTCAAATGATATATTAATAATTTTGCACTGTTCTCTGGCTACCGCATTTGGTGTTTCTTTATTAGTAAATATCCCAGTTTTGGTTGCATTCGGTGGGTAAAATTTTCATGTATTATGCAATGTTGCATATTATTCTATGTGCTGTTGTTGGTGGGCAGGTTCCCGCTGATGTCCGTGGAGGAGTTCGCCCAGGGGCCCGCCCAGTCCGGCATCTTGACAGACGCTGAAGTGGTGCAGCTTTTCCTTTATTTCTCGGTTAGTGCAGCTTCATCTGCTGCATAATTATTGTATATTGCTGGTGCAGCTTTGTGTACTGCATAATTATTGTATATTGCTGGTGCAGCTTTACAGAGCGGTCTTAATGTCACTTGATATATTAATAATTTTACACTGTTGACTGGCTACCGCATTTGGTGTGCCTTTATTAGTAAATATCCCACTTTTGGCTGCATTCGGTGGGCTTGTATGAAAAATATTCTATTCCGCTCATTAAAGATTACCTATACAAGTTCATCTTGTTGTGAGATGATTCATATATATATGCTCAATTCTCACCAAAACGAGCACAAATGACTAATATCACGTAACTCGCGTTACAGCTACAATATCAGGGACTAACACTGTTTGCTGACTAGGGCTTGAGGCAGTTGATGAATCTCGAGTTCTGTGTTAGTGTAATACTGTTCAGTTTTTTAGTGTTGAAGCTGCAACAAGTTCTTGCACGTCTTTCAATTTACTATAAAATTCTTGCACTTTCAATTTACTTGAAATATTCATGTATTATACATTGTTGCATATTATTCAATGTGCTGTTGTTGCGGGGCAGGTTCCCGCTGATGTCCTTGGAGGAGTTCGCCCAGGGGCCCGCCCAGTCCGGCATCTTGACAGGCGCTGAAGTGGTTCAGCTTTTTCGTTATTTCTTGGTTAGTGCAGCTTTTTGTGCTGCATAATTATTGTATGTTACTGCTGTATAAGTGTGTCGTGTTGTCAACTCAATTATTGTGTGTTACTTGTGTGTTACTCTCTCTGCCATTGTGCTGCTCTCCTTTCCATGGCCTTGCTCTCGCTGCCATTGCGCTGCACTTGCTGCCATTGCGCTGCTCTGTTCACGTGTACTCATTCTTTTCTGTTTTCAGGTGAACCCTAAGCCGTCAGTGGACTTCATAGACGTGCCCCGCTGCTGCATGACGGGCAAGGAGCAAACTGTGTGCCGCTTCCTATGCAATGAATCCCGCTGGGGCAANTAACTGGTTACTGCTGAGGCTACTCTGGCACCCCTGACCGAGTCCGGTGCGTGGGGTAACTCTTAGGTGTGGGTAACTGGTTACTGCTGAGGCTACTCTGGCACCCCTGACCGAGTCCGGTGCGTGGGGTAACTCTTAGGTGTGGGTAAATGGTTACTGCTGAGGCTACTCTGGCACCACTACTCTACACCAGTTACCGCTGGTCAGTGAATCTCCCTGAGGTATAAATTGGGATTTGCTTGGATTAGATTGTAGTCAATTGCATAGGCGTGGTTACGCCAACTGAAGTACTAAGCTGAATTTGGTTCATGCGAAAGTAACTCGAGAGACGCCACACTTAATGCTTCTCATCTTGATTTATTGTTCCATCGAAATGCATAAGTTATTCGAGGGAAAATTTACGGTCATGGTGACGGCTCCATTTAGGTCATGCATTGTATTTTCTGTAACACATTTATTTTATGAAATTTGCAGCTAGGGTGAGAGTCTTGAGTTCAGGATTTAGATTTTCAAGAGTTTAATTCTTCTACTTAATGTAGTGAATGATGTTATTTGATGTGCGGTGTGCCTATGTAAATGCCTCATTAGCAAACATGAACCTATCCGTACAAAGCAGTGGGATTATTCCTTTCAAATGATTTTCTAATATTTCTAATACATTGTTTATTAATTAATTGCCATTGAATTGTGCGCAATTTTAGTTGTGGCTTAATATTGTAGCGCCTACGATGAGAAATTGAGCTTTCCAATTGCCGCAGCTTCATCGTGGATCGGCGCATTTTTGTGGTGGGATTTGGCATGTACGGCTCCATCCACGGCCCTTCTGAGTTCGAGGTGGTCATCCAGCTCATCCACACCCTGACTGGCAAGGTGAGAAGACTGTTACATCCACACCCTGACTGGTAAGGTGACAAGACTTACATCCACACCCTGACTGGTAAGGTGACAAGAATGTTACATCCACACCCTGACTGGCAAGGTGACAAGACTGTTACATCCACACCCTGACTGGCAAGATGACAAATCAGTTTTGAAGTTCCTTTATTGCGGATGTAGCTGCAGCGCAACGAAGGCAACACGAGCTTCAAGTGCTAGTAGAGTTGTTGTTCTCTCTGAACACTCTGAAGTGAGATGCGTCGCCCTGGCTTTTGAGGCACACCAATAACTGATGGCCCCCTGGACCCTGTTGTTGTTGTTGTAATTGCCCATCCTGGTAGTGGCGACTAATGAGGGGGGTGATAGGTCAGTTTTTCCGGGCATTTGGTGCCTCTGGTAGTTTTACGACCATCACTGGCTCGCTGACCCGCCAGAACCATTTTATTGCATTACACAACACCCTGGACAAGCCAGGTACTTATTTATCAACCAGAGTTGGAGCTGGGTGCGAGAGACAGAGTCTCTCACCACTGCACCACCACAGCTCCCTGGGCCCTGTTATCAGAGATGGCGTCCTGGGCCCTGTTATCAGAGATGGCGCTCTGGGTCCTGTTATCAGAGATGGCGCCCTGGGCCCTGTTATCGGAGATGGCGCCCTGGGCCCTGTAATCAGAGATGGCGCCCTGGGCCCTGTAATCAGAGCTGGCGCCCTGGGCCCTGTTATCAGAGATATCGCCCTGGGCCCTGTTATCAGAGATGGCGCCCTGGGCCCTGTTATCAGAGATGGCGCCCTGGGCCCTGTTATCAGAGATGGCGCCCTGGGGCGCCGAATTTACTACTCAATTACAAAGAGCGGCCAATTTGTTGTGTGTGTGTGGTGGGTTTTGCTTGATGAGTGATTGGTTGACGGAGTTAAAAACTCGTCATATATTTTCTTATTATACAGCCCGTGCCAACAAACTTGTGCTGCCTCCTTTGCCTTCTGCTAGCCTTCTATTGTGTGTTAGAGTTGCATCAGTTTCTGAATCATGCATTTCTGAAACGCTGGTAAGTTACTGCTACACACATTAATTATATATTTCTGAAACTCTTGTAAGTTGCTGCTTCATTTGCAGCAGCAGTGCGAAATAAAAGGATCATTTACTGATCGTTTGTTGTTGCTGTGAATTAACGCTGTGACATCGTGACGTGCTGTGGTGTGAAGTAACGCTGTGACATCGTGACGTGCTGTGAAGTAACGCTGTGACATCGTGACGTGCTGTGAAGTAACGCTGTGACGTCACTGCGTCTGTGCGCAGGTGTGCGGCAGCAACGAGACAGTCTTCACGTCCGACGGCTCTACGAACACCTTCCGCGTGATGTTCCCTGACCCCATCTCATTATTGCCATTTGTTCAAGATATATCCTCACCACGTAGCTCGTCATCATTAATCAGTGTGATTACCAGTCATTCTTTCTCAACATGTTCATTATCCACAAAATACTGAAATTAATCCTGAACCTCCTCGCAATTATTTGGAAATACTGCTAAGCTCAACAAATTATAATTTGTTTAGAAGAAAATGACACCCATAAGAAAGAGTAAACATTTTACGGTTTAATGTTCATGAGCCTGTGCTAAGCTCAACAAATTATACTTTGTTGTGGAGAAAATGACACCCATAAGAAAGAGTTAACATTTTACGGTTTAATGTTCATGATACTGTGTCGCCAGGGCCCCGACTCGCACTACGGCACCAAGGGCCTGCGTAAGGTGGTCGTCGAGTGCCCGTCAGGGGACCGCGTCTGCTTCCAGTTCTCCTACGCCGCCGGCAACAACAACGGCACTTCCGTCGAGGACGGGCAAATACCTGAGATTATTTTCCACACGTGAAGTGTTAACAGCTCTAGGGGATGTCAGCAGCGCCGTATTGTCCAGATGTTAAGTGTTAACAGCTCTAGGGGATGTCAGCAGCGCCGTATTGTTCAGACGTGAAGTGTTAACAGCTCTAGGGGATGTCAGCAGCTCCGTATACGCTTCATCATGATACGCTATTATTACAATAAAGAGGGCGAACGCTCTTGAATTGCTGGTCCCAAACTGGGCGTAGATTCTCGCCTCTAAGTAATCATTATGGCCACTTGAATATATCAATGTCGACAACTGGAAGGGGGTAACGTGCATTTTGTGATATTTTGAATTGAGTGATAAGGTGATCAGTGTGAAGATGCATTGCCATAAGACGTTATCAGAAAAAAAACAATTAGCCGGGGTGAAAGTATATAAACCTCGTCATAGCGTGTAATGTCTGGCCAATTGAGGGACCTCTTCGGCTATGGGTCGAGACATAACGCGTGGCACCTCTCATTTGTACAAAATACAAATCGTTGCCAGGGCATTTTATTTCAATATGTCTCGTTGTTTGCAGGACAAAGAAATCTGACAACCGTTGTAGGGCATTAACATTTTAAGGAGAGAAGTCTTGCCGTATTTTTGAGCACACCGTGCGACGCATTGGGGCCTCTTTATCTGGGTCAGGCTTCTTTAAATCACGGTAGAGCAGAAGATCTACATTAATTGTGGCAGGTTTATAATTTTGCGTCACGCTTCCAGTCGCTAATTGTAAGGAAATTATTGTATTTTAGGCATTTTGTGCTCATGTTCCAGTTGGTACTATATTTGACAAGAATTGTGATTCCTCATGTGCACCCGCCAACTTTTAATTTTCTGTCAATTTTATTAAAAAAAATCGTCGTTCTGTCAGACGGACAGAACGACGAGGACGTCATGCCAGCCTCACTGGACCTTAAGGATTATATTATGTTACTAGACCTAGAGTTAGTAGGATAAATATTAGTCCCAATCACTTGGAACTACTCGGCTTTCATGACGTAAGCGTATCTTGTATATATATATATCCTGAATAGATGTTCTAATAAACAACCGATTATTTATAAATAGACCCTGTAATTTGTTAAATACTATTTGAGCTTTTGGGAGATGTAAGTGTGATTTATCTCGAAATTAATCCTCATTTGTGCGAGTATTTTTTTATTAAATTTGCACCTTAAACTTATGGCAGAAAATATTGAGCTCAACTTGTTCCATTACTCTTTTAGACAATTATTTGAATATAACCCTAGGATTTGAAAGCAAATAAAATGATAAGCTCATGTATATTGAAAACGTTTTTAACGATGAGCTTATCGTTTTCTTTGTTTTTATTTCATTTGTCATTCTCACTTCGCATTAATCTTTTAAAATTTATGCCCACCCCCTACACTACCGGAGCTTCTCTCGTGGTGTCATAATAGGGGCGGCTAGATGACGTTTATTTGTACATTAGTCTGAACTTTTATACATTATTGTACCTTGATGAATAATGTAGGATAACAAATAAAAATTCAAATATTGTTATTAAATGTAGTTTTTTGTTCCATAACTCAACGCTAACCACTAGACTATCCTGTGTTTATTTCTTATTTTAAATATTCAAGAATTTTGCACTAAATGTTGAATCGAACATCACGCAATGGCCGCTCATCGTCCGCCTGAGTCGACGTCGTCAGTGGCGCTGACCACACCGCATGGGCTGAAGGAGGGGCAGCTCTGGTGTGGCGGTCATCAGAGAGATGTTTTAGAATAGAATAGAAGTGTCGGCACTGAAGAAATAGGCCCATGGCCTGTTGCCGATTCTTGTTCATAGAATATAATAGAAGTGTCGGCACTGAAGAAATAGGCCCATGGCCTGTTGCCGATTCTTGAACTTTTCGTGACTTGATTCACAAGGGATCCGGCCTTTTGACGACAAGGAGAGCCAGCGGCCGACTACACGTGGCACCAAACTGCCAGGCGGCGGTGAGGGAGGGAGGGAGGGGGCAGGAATAGAGACGCTGCAGTGCCTGATAAAGACTCGTCGATACACGGGCACTAAAAAACGTTACCTTGGAATGGCAACAAAGGGGAAGTGGCGGCTCCTTCATCAGCACTAAAAAAACGTTACCTTCTCTTGGAATAGCAAAATAACAAAGCATGGCGGCTCCTTTATCGGTCTATGATCGAGATTATGCTGATGTTAATGGAAGCCAAATCGCTATCAACAGGTCAACAAAAAGATTCCTTCAACAAAGTATTGAATACTGATGATCTCCCGCCTGCTCTAGTGTTATTAAAGGTCAGAAATTACGCAGACGCGCGTCATCTACGAGTACGAGGATCAAGTTAAATACAAATCGTGGTACAAACTAATAATTCGACTGTTAGTTGAAACTGCAAGGACTTGAAAAGCTGGAACACGTGAGTAATTTATTGTTTTTGCGCTGCACGTCCATCATCACAGGGAACGCAATTTGTTCTAGCTCGGGCAAGCAGAGACGTCTTCTGCAATAGCAACGCTAACATATCAGCGACCAGTTAGTTGCTGGGGAGGCTCTGGCCGGAATGTGGTAGGGTAAACAAAACGTGAAGTACATGGAGCTAAACAATAGACTTCTTTAATGGGCGAATTTTGATAGCAAATAACCTTCAATGTTTGCGGGGATCGACAATTCTGTTCATTAATGAGATTAGATGTGAAATGAATGATTTGTACACAACCTAAAATTAAACTTTGAGTCTTGCTAAACGACGTATAACAATGCATATAGAAAATATTGAGCACGTATTTTTGTGGTGTTATAGGCACTTATAAATAGGTTATAGGTTGTTATAAATAGGTACTTAATCTGAAGTGAAGAAGTTGCTGAAGCGTATCTGTGCAGCGATTCAGAGCTACGAGGAAATTCAGAGAACTTAAAATCAACAATGACCTACAAAATCGAACAGCTATTATACCGAGCTTTAAAATATTAAGCAAACCAATCTCGTGGCAAAATACAAAAATTTTTACCTCGTATAAGTACAATAACAGTAGTTTGATAATTCCCTGTATTTATAAACGTTAAAATAACTTTTTTCAGCATTTTAATGCTCTAGTCCCCAATAATCCAACTGACATCATCACTTAATTTGTACTGTATCCTGCAAATGTTTCACTAACTCTTCCAGCTGTACGAGATGCTCGTCTTTATAATGAGGCACTTCAGTCCTCATAAACGTGGCTAAGTTGAACAAATACGTCGAGTTTGGGCCTGAAGGGCCGACGGCTCGTGCTATCTGTCTGGCCATGTCCTCAGGTGGGGCAGGACCCAGCCTCAGACTAGGGTCGCTTGTACCAATAAAAACAAGCGCTGAAAAAGATGCTCCATCAGCAGCATATACAGTCTCCTGGCGACGCTCTTGGTAGCTCTTCTCCCTGATGTTCAGTGAGCTGCCCTCGCTGAGCAGTTCATCGGACACCTCATAGGCCACTCCCCACACTATGTCCTGGGTGCAGACATGGGTCAAAATACGAGTCAAAACGTGGGTCAAAACACGAGTCAAAACGTGAGTCAAAACGTGGGTCAAAACACGAGTCAAAACGTGGGTCAAAACACGAGTCAAAACGTGGGTCAAAACACGAGTCAAAACGTGGGTCAAAACACGAGTCAAAACGTGGGTCTAAACACGAGTCAAAACGTGGGTCAAAACGTGAGTCAAAACATGAGTCAAAACGTGGGCCAAAACGTGAGTCAAAACATGAGTCAAAACGTGGGTCATACGTGAGTCAAAACATGGGTCAAAAAGTGGGTCAAAACGTGAGTCAAAACGTGAGTCAAAACGTGGGTCAAAACATGGGTCAAAACAGCGCCCACATAAGAGCACTATTGAACTTATGGAAACCCAAATCAGAGAATGGCTGAAACCAGGCCTAATTAAATCAAATTATCGAAACATGAATTCTAAGTTATATATGAAGATCTTGTCTCAAGTTAGTAAGTTAAAGCAAGTACACTTACAGTATAATTGAATAAAAGGATCATAAATAACATTCTTTGGAAAATTTACTTCAGAGTTATATCTACTAACTGATTCAGATCTAAAAAACCTGAAATAACTTTGCATATGAAAGTTGAATCAATAAACGTAGCATTTAAAAAGTAATTTGTAAAGTGACATTTAATGATGCATGATAACCCAATTCAATGGAATATTCAATAACAAGGATCAAATAGTTCTACACTTGCCACTGTTGAAAGATATTTTCTTCATTCAAAACGATAATTCTGCTCATTCAAATTTGTTTAGCTCAAATTCCAGAATGAAATTCGGTGAAGGAGACCAAACACAAACATATTGTACAGCATTGTTATGAAATGCTTGATGCATTATCTTGTAACTTCAAATTAATCAAAGAATAGAATATTTTCTTACCGTCAAGTCACCAGGAACTAGTGTGACGACTCGACCAGGCTGGAAAAAAGTCCATGTCTGAATGAATTGGAACATAGAAACAATGTATTTTAAAACACAACAAGTCTTTCAAATGAAATTTATTTTTTTTTATGTTGTTAAAAGGTCTTATTCTACAAATCATATTCATGAAAGTATGAACATAATTTATACTGTAATTAATAAACATGAGCATTATGATGCATAATGAGCAATATTCTTCAATAGATATGCCAAAAATTTAAAAAATAAATCTAAAACATCATACATATTTATTCTTCCAGCAAGTACCGTAAAATGGGGTAACTTAGACCACTTTTTTCTTATAAATGATGCCATTTTCTTACTAGCTAAATTAAACTTGAATTGAAACATGCAAAATACAGTTCTATACTCTAGCTTCACTCACCATAAATTGCTGGCTCCTGCCTCTCATAGTCTTTATGTAATTTCAAAAAAAGTGATGGTCTTTGTTACCCCAGCTCTTGGGGTAACTTAGACCAGGTGGTAAAATCAATTATTTTTTTTGGTAAAATAACTCCAAATAACTCCAGGTTTTGGTGCATTGTAGTAGAACTCTTCTAGTTACATATGCAAATGACAAACTTGAGGAAAGTGTCATAGTTTGCAAATGGGGGGCGCCACCCCATAATGAGGGAAATGTGACTACCTAATGGCAGCCCTGATGGGGTAATATTGACTGGCTTGGATATTAAGTTAAAATTACCATATATAAGACTCTGTAGAGTCTTAAACATAAAGAAAAAACATAAATAGGCTGTCAAACATAAAATATGTTATATATGGTAATTTTATAATAACTTCCAAGCCGGTCTATGTTACCCCGTCAGGGCTGACATTAGGTGGTCTAAGTTACCCCATTTGGGGGCAGCGCCCCCCATTTGCAAACTATGACACTTTCCTAAAATTTTTCATTTGCATATGTAACTAGAAGAGTTCTACTACAATGCATCAAAACCTGGAGTTATTTAACCAAAAAATAAAGAAATTGGAGGGGGTACTCTGACAGGCTTTGAATAATAGCTATTTTTCATGGGTCACATTTTTAATTTTTTAACCTATTAGATATGCAAACTTTTTAAATCTTTCTATTGTGTTATGTAGCCTCAGTATTAGGCCTTTAATGCCCATTGACAAAATTTTTCTATGTCAAATATTTTTTGAGTTGTGGGGGTTTTTGTAAAAAAAATGAAAAGTGGTCTAAGTTACCCCGCCGGTCTAAGTTACCCCATTTTACGGTAATTATTTAGAACCAGAGGAAATAATTTTAGGATTTTGCAATATTTAGAAAATGCTGAACTTTTGGACAGAGCTCCATTTTATTAGGTCATGAGAGCATCATCATGATGATCACATCACATCTGGACATTATGCTAAAACAATGCACAATGTCTTTGCTAGAGACTAAACTAAACACTAACAATTGTGGAGGAAACAAGGATAGCTGCATTTGCACCACAGCACAAGAAATGGATCAAACAATCAATTTTTCAAACTAGGAATTTCATTGAAAGTTAGGTAGAAGTATACAACTCAAGTTTGTTAGCCAACTTAGCTCAAAAGTTACTTTATGAAAACAAATCTATGAGAAAGATGCAGAACAACAAGAAAATTATATGTACCATATCTAAAATTTTCTATATAATATATGAAAAATATATAGTAGGCATATATATACAGTGGTTGCAAATGTGTATCCAACACAAAGGAAAAACTTTACTTAATTAAAGCTTCTTGAACAAAATAACAGCACTATTCTAATGTAAATTTACATGGGAAATGCAAATATCATTTCAAAACAATATCATTAAACGTTGACTTGATAATTGCAATTTTGTAAAAGTCAAGCTTCAAAAAGTATCAACACATTTTAAACAAATTTAGTCAATACTTCATCATGTGACCTTAGCAGCCAAAACTGCTTCTAACTGATTGGAATATTAACTTCTTTACAAGATTAACACGCAGGCTAATAAGAATTTTAGTTCCCTCTTCCTAGCATGTTTCTTTAAATTGGATAAGATTTCTTGGATCTCTCTCCTGTCCCCTCAGTTTCAATTCCCGCCACATTTGTTCAATTAGTGTGAGGTCAGGTCATTGGCTTGGCCATTCCAATAACTCAATGTCCCTCTCCTGAAACCAAGCCAGGTCCCCTAGCCGTGTGCTTAGGGTCATTGTTGTGTTTGAATATCCAACCTGAAGAAAGGTTTAATTTTTGGCTGACTTCACGAGACACCTCTTGAGAATGCCTTCAATACATTTCGGAGTTTATCCTTCCTTCTATGATTTCCAATTTTCCAGCACCTGAAGAAGAGAAACAACCCCAAAGAATTATGCTGCCACCTTCAAACTTCACTGTTGGAATGGTACTCTTTGGTTGAAATGCAGAGTTATTCTGTCTCCAAACATGACGACACAATTCCAACCAAACAACTCAATTTTAGTCGTATCTGACGATACTATATTTTTCCCAGAACCCTGAAGGTTTACTCACCTGTTTCTTAGCAAAGCTCCAGCAGTTCCTTATGTGAATTTCCTTCAAGAGAGAGGTTTTTCTCGGTGACTGAGAATGGAATCCTTTCTCTGTCAAGATAGACTCTGTATTTCACCCAAAGAATACCATTATCAGTGAAATTTGGAGGTGGCATTACCCTACAGATATTTGTATTTCCCATGTAAATTTACATTACAACAGTGTTTGTTTATGTTATTTTGTTGAATAAGCTTTATTTCAATGAAGTTTTTTCTTTGTGTTGGGTACTTTTTGCATACACTGTATAAATAAGATATAGTGAAAAACTAATAAGAAAATTGTCAATAAAACAAATTCTCTGGTCTTCAATGAATTATTACTGAATTATTACCTGCTGTTGCACTCCTCTATGGTCAATACTTGCTTGCCAAAACCTGCGCTTGTAGCCTTTGATGTACCCCACCACTCTTCTGTGAAACTCAAAGTCAGCTTTCCAGGTGAGAGAGCCATAACCAAAAATCCACATTACTTAATTAGTCCCAATGCACAAGATGATCTGGAAAAATGCATATTGCTCTGATGGATTGGGGAAAGTTAAAATTGATTAAATAGTACAATTTCATAATAGAAATTATTGAAAAAAGTAAAGGAGAACTTGGCAGGATGAGAAGATGGCTACCTACTGTCAGTGAAATTCTGCCACTGCAAAATCAAAGTTCATCTTGCATTGCAAGACAAATAGTAGCTTATTTCAGTTAACTCTGTTATCTGTGATGGTAGGTACATGAAATTATGGTTGCTACGAAACATAATGGCACAACAAATTTTGAAAATAATGGAATTTTGCTAGTTGGTCTTATTGGAATCATATAAATGGCTGCCCTGATTAAAATAATCAAAATAAGATCAATCTGACAAAAAAAAAACTAAAACAATATACACTTTTACTTGCAGCTTGGAAGGCCAGTTTAGGAAACTAGTATTTTTATAATTAAATTTCACATTCTAAAATCACTTATTCCAATTTGTTTTAAAATGTTGAGGCTCCAGAAACATTTGCTGCGCTACACTCCCAGGACCTGTGCTACAATTTTGGCTGGCATGCTTCAAAATCCTATAAGTAGATGGCATCAAAAATTCATAGAGAATTGCACCATGGTGACAGGAGACAGAACTTCTGACTGACCCAAGTTAGGAATTTAAATAATCTAATTTTAGATCAAAGACAATAGTCCACTATGCAGAGGGTGGATGCAGCGTCGGCAATATATGGATTTTTAAGCCCAAAGCGTCGCCGGCCATTTTTCGGAAACCTTACTTTTTTTCTAAATAGTTGGCTGAAGACTGAGAAATATATTAAATGCAAGAATTTCAATCTAAATGTGTCGGCAAGATCTTCTGAAGGCGAAAATTTTGCCGATAATGCGTCGCCGTAGGTCTTTAAATCTTTGTTCACTCTCTGCACAGTGGACAATAGTCACCTAAAATTCTTATATCAAATAGAAAATTACATTCAACTTAATAATTCAAAAATATATTATTTTCAAGATTTCATATCTAGAATAAAATATAACATTGCAAGTGTCAAAGTACTGCAGCCATCAGTGCAAGTTAGTAAGTCACCTTTCTACAAGTTGGCTGAGCAATACAATGTACATTTATACAATACAGTATTGCCTATTGGTATATTTCTGCAGAAGCTTTTCTATTATGCATTTTTATAGAAGACCAGATCATGCTTTTTATTAATAATCTTCTTATTAGTTTTTTCAACGAGTCAAACAAGATTTCAAGCTGGCGCTGGGAGATCAAAAAGCAGGTTAGCAAAAGACATTTTAATGGAATGCAACATTTCTAAAATACAATTTTCAGTAATTTAAAAGTAAAGAAAATAGCCAAAAAGTTCACCATTTAAATTTGCGACTTATATGTCTTAAGCAGGAACTTTGGAAATGACAGTAGTACAAATCAATGGTATAGTGGATCTAATTAAAAATATAAGCTTAAAAGTACTCTGAAAATAATTTCAGCATCCAAAAAAATCCTGTAGTTAGGAGGTTGTTGTTGTGGTTATCCGGTCTGTTGTTGTGGTCCGGTGTACGGTTGAGGTTATGTGGTGGTGGTGTCTGAGGTCCTGCCTGAGCGGACATTCCAGAATGTGAGTGATTGTGTGGGGAGCTCTGTGGCAGAATGGGCAGGTGTCTGTGTCTGCTTGGCCTATTCTGTTTGCGTATGTTTGTAATGAAGGGTGGTGGCTAGGCCTGGCAGCCTGGCTAGGTGTACTCTCTCCAGTCTAGAGGTGCTGCTTATGTCAGGTTGCCAGCAACTTTGTTGTTGCCGGCCATCTCCAGCGTTTCAAGTGTCATAATTGTGTGTAAGTTTTTTTTTGTGCTGGTGTTGCCTTGGGGTGGGGGTACTGTATCTAGTATGTTGGAGTAGTATCTGTGTGGGGTTTTCACTATTTGTCTGTGTGTAGGTGGGTAGTGGCATGGGTGTTGTGTGTTGTTTATGGCTGCGGCTATGAATTGTGCTCCTCTCATGTCGAGGTGTGCTCTTATGGGAAGTATTTTTGTTTCTGCATGAAGGTGTTCTATGGGGGTGCTTTGTGTGCAGCCTGTGAATATCCTGAGTTTATGTTTTGTAGTGTTTGGAGTTTCTGTATGTTTGTGTTGGATAGTGCGGGCGCCCAGGCGGGGCTGGCCTAAGCCAGCACAGTTCTGATGAACTGTTTGTATGTTGGTGCAAGTGTTTCTTTGTTTTTGCTGAATTTGGTACCGCCTAGGGCCCGAAGTGAGTTGAGTCTGATGTTTGTGTTGTTCACTATGTTGTTGATGTGAGGGCTGAATGTCATGGCGGTGTTGTAAGTGACCCCTAATATTTTTGTTTCGTGTTTGTGAGGGGTCAGGGTGTTGTTTAATGCAGGGTGGCAATCTAGGATTAGGGCAAGTCCTTCTTCAGACGCGTTCAAAATTTCTCATACACTCATTCACATTTCCTCACAATCTCGTTCACATTTCATCATTTAAAAACCCACTTCCGTAGTATTGAATTTGTTAGCAAGCGAATTCGAATGGAATAGTTCATTATTAAATTAGACACTGAACGACAGTCGGACAGCATATTCTTAAACTAGTCCATATCGAAGTGCCCGGTACGTATCTTCTTTCTTCTTCTTTGCGGGGGGGTCCACGCTGGGTGGACATAAAGCCACAGGTCTGCCTGATGGGATGACCGTTGGGCCTGAGAGCTTGTTGGTTAAGTTTTTAGCTTCTTGGTACGGGAAGCTAGTCAGTTCTCTCTTAAGAGAGAACAGTTCTCAGGTAGCTCCATATAGGATTTGAGGAGTTTTAAAGGAGACAAGTTTTAGTAAATGGACTTAAGACTAAATGCTCATTTGAAGCAAAGCATAAAAGGTAAAGAATGCTGGTACAGCCTCCCTACCTACTTCAAACACCTAAAAGACATGCCTAGATATTGATAAATAAGCCAACAACAACAGTAGATAGAAC